TATATACTATATATATATATATATATATATATATATATATATATATGCAAAAAGTGTGTTTGTCTTGATCTATTGACTTTTTAAGACCAAAGTACCAGACACAAAGATATTCATGAAATTTGAAAAGAGGTCTATCTTAGGCAATAGTAAGGAAAACAGGGATCCCGACTCACGCTTCGCCATTGTCCTAACTGCCAGTCAGCAATCAAATTGGCTGAATCCAAGGTCCCACTCAACCGAATCTCTAAACAAAATACACAAGGGGATTGGGACTCTGGACTCAATGAGTCGTGACTTCCTCTGTTTTTCATCCAGACCAGCACCTTGCCATGTCCAAATGACTCGGGCGAGTCCGAGCCCAAATCATCGATTCTTCAAAGACCGTTGATTCTTCAAATAACGGTCGAAAGTTCTTCAACAAATCAAGATTTCATGACCAACTCCCTCAAAACCGAATAAATTAATGTACTCCAATGCCATTAGTGGATCTTGAACTTTCACAAGTCTTCTTCCTCATACTTGGCACATGTTCTCAGGGCTTCTAGGACATGGAAGACTGCACGCCCATAGATTCAATGAAGAGGGTTATGAGAATAGATGTCTGCATAATCTCAAGAACCACATAATAAAATAACATACTTTTATAGCTTCACTCAAGACAGCACAGATATTTCATTTGTGGTTTGGCTTTTCCATCTTTTTTTGAAGTTAATCTGGATTGAAGATGTTACATACCAAAAATTGGCCTCCTAAAGATAGAGAGTTTTCATGCGACCATTGGGCTAATATATATGTAACAGTGATATGAACTACCCAACAATCACTATCATAAGCGGGTCTTCAATTTTTAACTTCAAATCATGCCACAATCTATTTGACTATTTTAGTTTCAGCTAATGTTTTAAAAACCGCTGATCTGAATCAGTGTTAGTCATAATGTCCAAATTTGATAGACCTGCCCCATTCTGTCATAAAACCAAATAAGTCTGTCAAGGAACTAGACAATCTAGATTGTCTCCGAATTGATCAGTTCAAACTCATTTCAATTTTTATTTTTTAATTTTTATTTTTTAATTTTAATTTTTTAAAATTCAAAATTATTATTTAAATTCTCTTGAGACCAACTCCCAAATTGAAGAATCAATCGGATCATGCCTAGATCAGTTCAACAGGTGTGACCATTTGGCCTCCCAATAGAGGATTTGAAAAGTGCTGATTTTAAGCAGAACCTTTGTACTTTCAAGAGGAGAAATTATTGTCAGCACATGAGAATGGAATCAAGGTCCCCATCTGAACCATGTCCACATCAGTCCGTTTTTGGCCTTTTTCCAGCTCCTTAAAGATGTGCTTGACTTCTTCCTATTACCTTCATTTCTTAGGCATTTTGCAAAAATAATTTTCCAACCATTTCTTAAAGGGTGCGGTTTGCATAGACCCAAGGTTCTAAACAATCAAAGTAGAGCCCACCTTTAAATGGTATCGAGAATTATAGTTTCAACATTGAAAATCTTTGTGACGGCCTTAAAACATATTTTCATATCTAATTATAAAATTTAAATCTTCAAAACTAGCAGATATCAAGCGGATCCATGAAAACTTGAAATTCTTAAAAATTGACGGTCAAAAAATGTATTACAAGAAGAACTATTTCCAAAACTTAAAATTCACTTTTGTCTCATGTCCATGCATCTTGATGTCGAGATGATCGTTTTGGAGATATTTGCGCATTAAAACAACCTCTTCTTGTGAAATTTTTGAGATAAGCTCTAATTTGATGGTTTAGGGCCTCAGCTCTATATAAACTTTTCCCTTTGCTTAAAAATACAACTTACCTGATGCATCCCAGCGCTTAAAAAGTACCCGAAAGACCATACTCTGTGGCTTCCAGAGGTCAAAATCTTCCCGTATTTACATCTCCAACAGACAATGACAAGCGTTTCTCAAATAATTAGTATGCTCCATGGGAGCATACTATGTATTTGTTCCCTTGAATGTAAGAACTACTTAGGAGGATTTTTTTAGATCTCAAACTATTGAAATCTACTTAAAAATCCCTAGACGATTATTTAAAAAAAAGAATAAAATTAACTACTTCAATCTCACCGCCCAAAACTTAGACTATCTTTGATCAATCTTAAGAAATTATTTTTTTAAGCACTTTAGGATTCATGATGGTCTTATGATGGCAAGTTAATTCAATTGGAATGACCGAAAAGGACAAAAAGTAAATCCAAAAGAATGTGGTTGGAAGTAATCCGAAAAAATATAAAGACTTATAGCCTCACTGAAGATATGACCTTTAATATAACATAATAGAAAATCAGAATTCATGTAACCGGTTCTAATTAATTGGAAAAAAACTAAAATGATGATGATGATGAGGGACTTAAAAGAGTAGAATTTGAATTTATTTAAATTTTTTTGAGGTTAATATACATTAAGTTATACCCCAAAATTTCAAGCCGCATAAACATTCCTAGATTAGGCTTACCCAAAGGAGTAAATGGGTGGTATGCTCCTAGGGGAAAACAGCCTCTCTTAGCATAAATGCTGCGTAGCACATGTGAGGCGGCATCCACTATCCATTCTACATATAAAAGGTGGAGAAAATGTGCAGTTCCTGATAATGGGCATCGCTTAATCTCCACCATCCAATGTTGACAACCGGCAGCTGAATGCCTGGCCATGTATTATTTATTATACAAGGCCATATGCCGAAAGTGATACAAAGAGCAGTGACAGTAACTTAAGAAGAATGATTAGTAGAACAATCTCTTCGAATGCCGGCGCACAATTCTTGATGAATCCAATTCTTTTTCAGCATGAGATGACATAAAATACATCTCTCGTGTGTATGCGTGTGTGAGAGAGACCTAAGCATTGTCCTTTCAAAGAACGAGATTCCTCTGTTTCTCCGTAAGTACACTCTCACACTGTACATCCCCGCACTAGGTAAAAGCTCAAACGGTCGAATGGCTCAAAATCAGGATTCAGGAGCCCTCTTCATCCTTCAGTCTTGCCAATGATTCTCCCATTACACAGTGGCGTTTCCTGATTTCCATCATAGCTTCCTCAGAGTAGTAACCTATCTTACCAAGGGCAAAGCCCTCTTCTTGAAGATGCCTGCATGCAAAACATGCAATTCAAAGTCATGCAAGGTTTACACCAAGAAATAAGAAAAGTTCAGAGAATCTCATTCCAAAAATAATAATATAAGATTTCAGCAAAGTCGCAAACAAGAAACATAGAGAAAGAGGACACAATACTATAATTTTTTAAATAAGCACCCAAGTCACAATTAGCTGTGCACTACATGGAAACACTTCAAGATTTCTCATGGGTCAGGGTCTGCCAAAATCAGATTCAAATATCTGTGGAACAAATATTGAATGAGTTCCCACCAGTTTCATTTAGCTACTCAAATTTAAAAATAAAATAGCTTGGTTGAGGCAGTTTCTTCATAATACGGATATAAATAAATACAAAACCAAAATTAAATCTAATGAGAATGACATCGGTTCAAGTTATAATAAGTCAAATGAAACATCCGCTACAATGAAACATCTGCTACACTTACCAATACATTGTATCAATATATGTATTAATAATATACCTCTTGGGCAATTAAGAATGGGAACTTTCCAATTAGGTGCTATATCCATGTCAGATACTTCAACGACAAATTACAAAATGATAAAATTTTAATGCTACAGCATTTCCACAGCTAAGATCAGGCACCATAGCTTTTAGGTGATTATGATCAAGTTTAAAACAACATACCAGAGCAAAATGGCAGTCCAGTTCAAACATATAAAAAATCTCTTCTACGAGATCTAAAAACAAAAGAATGGCTTGTCTACAAAACCTCCAATAAAAGCTCTCACAAAAGAAGAACACATAAATGCCCAAAAGGAGACTTCCGTCCATCCAACTCTCCCTCACAGTTTGTCTTCTTCCTCAAAATCATGGAAGAAACATAGACATGTCTTGAATATCTTTTTTCTTAAACCAAACATCAGAGGTCTCTTTTTTCCTTTTAGCAAAATCCTAGGTTTATTTTTTCACAAAATCCAAGGTTTTCTCTACGAGGATTGGTTCTAGTTTTTATTACCTAACAATCATCCCACACTGCCGAAAATGAACTTCCCCACCATATCCACCAAAATAGACTCTTGCTCTCAAGCAATCCCCAAATCCTTACCCATATAAAATTTAATCCGAGACAAGAAGAAGGAAGATAGCTCGCCCATGAAAGCTTACCGAAGATAAATATAAGAAACAGAAACCTTGTAGGCCTCAACGAAGGACTGTTTCAATTATGGAACGGTATGATATGCCTTTGATGTTTACCAAGGGTAAGGGTGTCATATGGTTGAAAACAATACTAATTTCTCTAGCTTCTTTCTATAGATCAGCTGTCCATTAGACACCACGACAAAAAGCAACATCATGGATCAGCTCTACTGCAACTCATAAAATAGAAGGATCAAAGATGTTATGTGTTGGAAGATAGTAGCATTCAGAAAATCAAAATATATATAAGTTTTTATACTCTAATATGAATCCAACAGGCTGAAGCCCTTGGTTGGAAGGTGACGTTATCTGCACACACCCGGCCATATTCACTCACATTAGAAACTAACTACCTAATCTTTGTGGACCCCACCATAGCAGTGTTCGAAGACTCGGACTCATCCGAGTTACTCGGACTCGGTATCTTGCCGAGTCGAGTCCTTGGGTACAAACTTAGAAAAATAAAAATATCATAAAATTTAAATTTTTTATTCAATGTATAAATTAAATTTATACTGTAATAATGTCAATATAGTTTTGATGTTTTGATGCTGATATGTGAGTTTCCTTATTATATCCTCTGTTTTTCTATTTTCCCCTTTTTTTGGGTTTTTTAATATGCTTCCAGCTATAAATCAGTTTCTTTTCCCAATTCCATCTGCTTTATAGTTTATCCATCTTTTATAGACTCTTAATGCTTTTTATCATTTCTTTTGTTTTATACTGTTTTATTTTAGCTTTTTTTAAAATTTATTTTGCATCTTTTAGCCCTTTTTGGGCTCGTACAGTACTCGGGCAAGTACACTCCAACTTGCCCAAGTTACTAGCCTCAGGAAGGGGCTAAGTCCCGAGCCCCAACCAAAAATTTAATTGCTGCACCATATTATATTTTAAAATTTAGAGAATGAATTGTGCGCAAACAAATATTTGCTTCCCAATCGAAGGCTCATATAGAGAGCCATCATAGCTGTATGTAGATAAAATGACCCTTGGTTTTCTCAAAGTAGTGCTTTACCAAGTCCTACTAATTACTATTTGATAATTTGCTCTTCCTAAAACTGAATCATCATCGAAGCCTTCTGCCAACTAATTGGGGTCGGCTACACAAATCCTAGTCCGTCATTCTGCTCTATTAAAAGCCTACCCCTTGCTCTTTTCGAGCCTTCCAGTTGAACTAACTCGCACCTCATAATAGGTGTTATGCTGGGTCTGCGCTACACATGGCCAACCCACCTAAGTCTACTTTCTCTCATCTTATCGCCTATTGGTAAGACATTTATCTAAATATAGATAAGAAATAACTATATGACCAATGGATCATGCAAAAATATCATTGAAAAAACAAACAAGATCGACAAAGGAATAAGCCGCCTTCATGGTGCCATTAGCTCTAGCAATGAAGCATAATATAATATAATATAATATATAACATACATAGGCAGCCCGACCTATGGAATAGTATTGCTTTGTTCTTCTCATCCAACCCTACCTTGCCTCTATCCCTTCTCGGATTCTTAGTCCTGCCCATCCATCCCACAACCTGCCTTATCCCTTCGATTACCCAATGATTGATCACCCGACCTTTTTGATTTTATGGTAGGACCTAAAGTTGCTCAGTACTTCTCCTACAGAGAAGCAAGTAAATCATTCTCTGAGCCAGACAGACAAAAATTCAATATTATAGATCTGGATGGTCAACTGTGTGTGTAAGAAAAAAAAAAATTTCTTTTAAAGCACAATTATAATGGATACCATTTAGCAAAAAATGTGCGCCTCATCTAGGTCACAAAAAAAATAAAAAAATTATACATGCCAAAAAAGTGTGCCAAAAATTGTCACCATTTTTAGTGAATGTTGGCCATCCAATTGCTCATCATTCAACCTAGGTTGCCCAGCACATGGAGCCTGTACCATTACATAGACTGGCTGGCTCATAGAACCTTTATATAATATGGGAAATCTATCAAAATACAACTACCACTCAAATATTTGATATTTTACCCATTTTCAACTATTCCAACTCATGATCATGTGCATTTGGATGGGCCTTTTGAAATTAAATCAAAAGAAATACATGATTTGTTACGTAGTACATCTATTCGGTGCTTTCTAATATATATATATCCAGTTCTTAATAGGAAAGGTGAAAAGAAAAAACCAGCATTGAAACTAAAGAAGAAATTAAGGTCCAGATTATTTCTTATTTACAATAACCATACAGTTACAAGACGTTACTGAATATCTAAATGCATGTGTGCTCCAAAGTATGAATTCCATGTCTCTAAACTCCAAAGGAAAAATCACATTCAAAGTAGATGCACTAAGCAAGCGGAACATACAAATATCCGGCCTGTTTCATTGGTTGTCTTTCCTCCTCACTTTTGCTTAAAGATTTGACTGATTCTCTCTCCTCCTTGACATTGGTTGTTATGGGACTCTGATAATCTCTCTCCTTGACTTTGTCTGTAAGCTTTAAGTATTCCATCTTTTCCACAAATTTGTTGTCCATAATCATGGAAGGGCTTGCACCGTGCTTACTCTCATCAGGTGATGCTTTTTCAATGGGACCATAATAACTTCTCACCTTGCGCTTGTGAGCATTCAATTTCACTTGCTTCCCTTGTTTCTGAGTTAAGTCTTGGAGCTCAGTCACTGAATGATTTTTGAGGGTCGAAGGAGTGACAATAGGCTCGAAAAAGTCATGGAAAACCTGAGAAAAAAAACATCTGCTAGCAATTGAGTTGCCAAAAGAACATGCCACATTTGTCTACTCTCATTTGAATTCAGAAGTTAGATTTCATCATCAAAAGTCTACAATTCATTAATATCCTCAGGGGAAAGCATAAAGCAAGTAGTCGAAAACAATAGCCGTCATACACATACACAAACAAGAAGAAAAAAAGGGAGCAATTACAAATAATTTACATATAGGTGCAAAAGCAAAATACTGAAGAATGACAGTACGAGATATGCAATTCTCAATGCATGCAAAGCATGCAATTACAAAATGAAGAAGAGCTCAATCAGATCCAGGAATTAATGGGGTTGGGGTCGTGGTGGTAGCACCACTTGTGCCCCAAATAAGGTCTAGGGTTCCATTATCACCTAAGGTATTCAAAAACCACTAATGAATTCCAAAAACGATTAGGAAGGCTAGCCATCCCCATTGAATTACCCCCAAAAAAAAAAAATTCCAGGAATTCCTAGTTTCTTCTCTCTATATAAGAAAAGAAAAAACATAAAAACAGCATCTGTCCGAAAAACAATAGCCCCAAAAAACCCAAACTAATGCCAGGAAAAGGAATACAAAAAACAAACCAGGCATTGCCTGGGCATCAAGCAACAAAAAACAAGCACATTTCAACAGAGAGAAGCTGGCGGGAATGATAAGAGTTCAAAACAAAAGCTGGAATAAAATTTGGTGTAATTACATTCCAAAGTATCTCAAGATTGTAACCAGTGTCTACATAGACTGCGCCAACAATGGACTCCACCATGTCTGCAAGGACTTTGGGGGTTTTCATGAGGCAAGCATTGTCGGGGCTCTCGTTAATGGCATCAATGAATTCTGAAACCTGCAAATTGGCATGCCTAGTGAGTGAAACACAAAAACGGACACGCAACCCTAGAGAGAGAAACAAAAGCACAAGCCAGGAAAGGGCAATTCTAAAGAGATGAACAAAAGTGGCCGAACAAAAGAACAAACATAAAAGAGGGGCAGTTCTGTATACCTTGTCGTCAGGGGTGGGAGAGTTTTGAAGAAGAAAAACACAGAAACCGTGTTTTACAGCGATCATGGCGAGCTTCTCAGTGCTGGTATTGGCGGCTCGAAAGAGGCTGAGCTCACGAGGGGTTAGAGAGGGGAATCTTTTGAAGAGAAGCTTTATGAAGACATGGCCAAGAGCTTCATGACCTATGAATTTGAGCCTCTCCTGTTGCGATGTTTTGGATGAGAAAGAAGAAGAAGAATTGATTAGCTGAACAACATCTTTGACCAATTGGGGGTCACGAAACCTGTAACGCAGAAGCTTCTCCAACTCCTTCACTTCCATCGTCTACAAAACTACCTCTCTCTCTCTCTCTAAAATTGGTAAATGCAATTTGGGAATGCAGATCTCTCTCCCTCTCTCTCTTACTAAGACCCTGTAACTTGGGGGAATCTCTCTCTCTAAACTCTGATTCAACACAGACAGAAGGTCTCAGATAAATTGTCCCTCAAAACACCCGCTAAATTTTCTTGTGGGATACCAGCTCTCACTCCATCGTATACATACCGGCGATAATCTCTCTCTCTGCTAGTGCCCCTTTTGAGTAGGGGTGGCAATGGAACCCGACTCGACCTTCGACCCTATGGATATAGCCGACACAGGTCCGACTGTGGGTGTTATATTTGGACCTGCAGGTCGGGCATGGGTCCAAAACCTGGACACGAGCACTATTTGGGTCTGGGTTCGGGTCAGGTCTACCTGTAAACTTGGAGGTAAAATACTTCAAGCCTTATTTGTTTGAGTGTATTAATGATCATATACAATAAGACTTCGTAGTCATCTACAGCTATTAAACAACAAATTAGACCTTCGTAGTCATCTACAGCTATTAAACAACAAATTAGACCGCTTGAAATCTAATGGCAGATAAATGTGATCCTATTGAAAAAAAAAAAAGCTTAGAGTGATAGTAGCAATGGACCCAACTAGACTCGGGACACGAAGGGATAGATCCGAGACCCGACATTATGGGTCCAACTTTTGGAGCTAACGGGTTAGGTTCGGGTCCGGGTCCAAAACCTAGACCAAATGCATTCGATTTTGAGTGTGGATCGAGCCAGACCCTACCTGTTGCCACCCCAAGTTTAGAGTGTATGGTTTAGATGAGAAATTATGTGATGCATTTATAGATACTATAGTAAATGAAATAGATAACAAAAGTCCTCATGTACTAAAAGTTTCAGAAGGAAAAAGTTTATATAAAGTTGCAACTTTAAAATGTAGAATCACATTTGTACCTAAAAAATCCATTAGAAAAGGTTGTTTTAACATTAAAAAATCTCTAATTGATCATCTCGACATCGAGATATATGAAAATGAAAAAAAAAAAAGATTTTGAGTCCCAAAAATAGTGCATCTTGCAATACATTATCTAGACCGTCCATTTTCAAGATCTTAATATGTTTATAGATCTACTTGATTTTAACCATTTTTTGAGTTTAAAATTTTATAATTAGATACAAATATAGATTTTGAGGTAATCCTACAAAAAAAAATTTCACCAAAATTACATGTTATGATAAAGTTTGGAGGTTATCTTAATTGGATTATTTAAGATTGCAACCTAATAGAAACCGCACCGTTTTCATAGTGATAGAAATTTCTCATAAAGTTTTTTAATTATCAAACCCTTAAATGATTGACAAGTCACAATCTTCTAATAAGGATGACGTTTTTACCGAATTTTATTTATTATCTTATTTATCTGACTAATTTTCATTTTCCTATCAAAATAAAATATTTTTTAATGCATAAATTTAGATCTAATTTGATTTTTTTTAATGCACAAACTTAGATGTAATTTAATTTTATATGGATTAATATTTTTAATAATTAAGTTTCAATTGTATAGGTTAAGCACAAGCACGGGGGTATGTGAATTGAGAGAGATTTGATGTGAGTGCTAAATCCTTTTGAGAGCATACAACTTGGGTCAGGAAAATTAATTCATCTCCTAGGATGGGATCAGAGGGAGAGAGGGAAAATATGAGTAAGGAAGGAGATTGAAGAGAACATAGATTTGGAGAGAGAATTTATATGTGCTTTGGTTTCTTTTTTCTTTTTTTAAGAGAGAGATAAAGAGAAAGTGCATCCCTCAAAAAATAAAAATAAAAAATAAATAAAGAGAAAGTGCAAGATGGACATGGGATAGGGGGTGAGAATTTGATAATGTCTTATATAAGATTGCAACTTTAAAATGTAGAATTAAAGATGCACCTCAAAAATCCATTGGAAAAAGTTGTTTTAATGTTGAAAAACCTTCTAATTCATCATCTCGAGATCGAGATGTATAAATACATATATATAAACAAATATTTTGAGTCCAAGAAATAGTGCATCTTACAACACATTATCTAGGCGGTCCATTTCCAAGATTTTTCATATGTTTATAGATTTACTTAATTTTGACCATGTTTGGAGTGTAAAATTTCATAATTAGATATAAAAATATATTTTAAGATAATCCTAAGAATTTTTTACACCAAAATTACATGTTATAAGAAAATTTGGAGGTTCGCCTTAATTGGATTGTTTAAGGTTTATTTATTAACATTTCTCAAAAAATTGTGTAATCTCAATTCAATAGTAGATTATTAATTTTTTCATGCATATTCATAGTATGATTTATTTTGTTTTTTCTGCACAAATAACAATTGAAATAAAACCTAAAATTTTACCACTACGCTCTCCCTCTCTCTCTCTCTCATAGAACTCTCTAAGTTTTACATTTAAAGAAAAATTATTCCAACATGCATATTTAGTGACACTATCTTTTCCATACATAAATATACCATCTTTATACATATTTGATGCAATGGCTAAATCTATAAACAATTAATTTGTTTTTAAATTCTATATTATTTACGTTTACTATATATGTGATGGACTTTTATACATATTTGATGCAATAGCTAAACTTATAAACAATTAATTTATTTTTTAATTGTACATTATTTAAGTTTGGGTGAGGTTTCTATAAGGTTGCAACCTTAAACAATCCAATTAAGACATACCTTAAAATTTTATCACGACATTTAATTTTGTTGTAAAAATTCTTAGTATTATCTTAAAATCTATTTCCATACCTAATTAGAAAATTTTAAATTCCAAAATAGTTAAAATTGAGTAGATCTATCTATATGGAAATCTTGAAAATGGACAGTCTGGATAATGTATTACAAGATGCACTATTTATGGGACTCAAAATTTTTTTTTTTTTATGTTCATACATCTCGATATCGAGATAATCGATTAGAGTGTTTTTTCAACATTAAAACAATATTTTCGAGATATTTTTGCTGTGCATTTATGTATGATGGACTACAAGTACCATACTTATGTGAAGGACCACCATACACGCTTTAGCTTTGGAGCTTGAAAATGTGAACGGGTAGTCACCAAAATGTCGGCGAAATTGTCACCAAAATGTCGGCGAAATTGCACTGAGAACAGGTGAACTTTATTAATGACTTTGGGGGCAGTTGGCATACGGATGTATCCGTGGGTCTAGAGGTAAGGTGGACCTTCAAATTTTAACCTGGTATATATTTTTGATGTAAAATGTTTTTAGAGTTATCTCAAAATCTATTTTTATATCTAATTATTAGAATCTGTTTGTATGATTGTTTGATTTATTGGTTTAGTGTGACTGTGGGGGAGATATTTACTGTTTCATGTTGGGAAAAGCTCTTGCATCATTGGCACGTTTATAAAGTGGGGAACATGTCCATAATGCAAGCGGGGATGTGTATGATTATGTAACGAAGCATCTCAGAGCACCAAAATGCACATGTATTATCCTTATGTACAACGGGTAATACACTACCATAGACTTATGTGCATGGCGGAGATAAAAATATCATTTATAAAAATATATAAAATATGGGTATAGGTGTATTAAACTAGAAATTTTGTTATATATGAAACATAGAGAACTTTATAGGATATATCTGATAATTTTTTCTATAATATATCATATATTATACTATAATATGGAAGAAAGGACAAAAGTAATTGGAAAAGTTTATATAAGGATGCAACCTTATAATGTAGAACTACGGATGCACCTCAATAATCCATCGGAAAAGGTCGTTTTAATGTTGAAAAACCCTTTGATTGGTCATCTTGACATCACATCGAGATATATGACTATAAAAACTAAAATTATTTTAAGTCTCAGAAATGGTACATTTTACAACATATTATCTACACTGTTTATTTTCAAGATTTTCATATGTTCATATATCTACTTGATTTTAATCATTTTTAAAATTTAAAACACCAAATTTGGTACGAAAATCTATTATCCTATAACTATCCCCAAGATATATTTAAATTAAATTACACTAACTGTAGTTATATAAAAATAATTGAATAACCAAATTTTCTAATGTCTCTCTATATTTTCTACTCAAGATTATGTAGAAATAGGAAAGAGGGAGATATATTCACATGGGAATCAGACGCATATCAATATCACATAGAGATATGATAGAATTTTATTTATTATTATTATTTTTAATGGTTAACAGATAGAAATTTTTTATTGAAAAATAAAAAGATATCTCCTAAAGGTCCTATACTCACGTGGGAGCCAGACACATATCAATATCACATAGAGATATGATAGAATTTTATTTATTTATTATTATTATTATTAATGGTTAACCGATAGAAAATTTTTATTGAAAAATAAAAAGATATCTCCTAAATGCCCTTTCTTTGAAGGTCATCTATCCTGAATTCCCTCTAGTGATAGGGTATTTTCTATTTTTGTGACATGTGTACATCCCTTAACTCTGACTTAATAGTATTGTATGGATACATATATGATGTATAAGGAAAAATTGCAACTAACCATGCTAACTAATCACACACTTAGCCGGATCCAAGTTGGCTATCAAGTTCTCTTATTTGTTATTTCTCACTCATTGTGAGATCTTTTAATGAGTTATTTCTATATTTTCTATTGAGTTTTGAGAACTACATGGCACTAGAGCACCAACCTACAAATTATGGCAATCAAGGTGTTCAACCAAACTTGTTCCACTATAGGTGTGAGTAAAATTATAGTTTGTTCTAGTGGGTACACATTCACAACTATTCTCACTCATTCGATATCAAATTGGATGGTTGTGGTGAGTCATGAAGTTCAAGAACTTTTTTTGGGGAACTTTCTGTTAATCAATAACACTCTTATAACAACCCATCTTGAAATCTACTAAACAAAAATGATTGTGACCTGTTGAAGATTGATGTCTTATATTCTGAGGAAGTAGATCTGTCAAGGTAGAATCAAAAGGACGACTTCGGAAGGCCATTAAAAGCCAAGAGGGCTTGTGGCCAGGAGGAAGAGAGCTATTGTAACCCTATCCTCCATTGCCAATAAAGAAGCTCTCATCTCCCATTGACATAGGCACGTTGCCGAACCACGTATATATTTGCGTTGTGGTTGCTTGTATCTTTCTTTCTTTTGTGTTTATTTCTTCTTTCTTCTTTCTTCTTTCTTCTTTCTTGTTTTCATGGATTGTTTTTTGTTTCTTCAAATTGGTAACAGAGCCTACCAACTTCACATCGTGCAAATAAAGCTTGAACT